GGCCACTCCGACGGGGCCCACACTACAGCCGGCCACTCCGGCGGGGCCCACACTACAGCCAGCCACTCCGGCGGGCCCACACTGGGAGTGCTGGTGGCTGAGCGCCACTGCTCGGCTCCACAGGTCGGGGTTTGGTGCGGTTTGGCACATGTTAGCTGTGGATGGTCATCGTCAAGCGATCTTGTAAATTGTCACATTGCTTCGATTCAGAAGTGTCCGGGCTGCTGGGGGTCTCTCGGGCTTATGGCTGCTATTTACGCACTAATCGCACAAAGTTGCTTGCCTTGGCGCACAGAAGAATTTAGCTTGAGTACATTTCATGCCAGTGCTAATAAGACGTCAGGGTTGTTGAGCGTTTGCCTCGCCTTTCGACAGATGTTCCCCCGTCTGACCAAGTGCACATTCTATCGATACGGGGCTGGAGGAAGTCTGGAGCGATACGACGCCCTGTGCGTGCTCAGCATCAACGTCGTCAACGACAAGATCTACCTCACCGTCTGGTTCTGGTACATCGTCCTTCTCGTACTGGGCAGGTGAGCTTCACGTGTCACCCTCCTCCGGCGGGGGGGGGGGGGGGGACGGTAGCTGATGACTCCACTGACGACGTCAGCTAGCTGCACTTCCGCAGCGATGTGGCCGGTAAGAAGATAATTTATCCAGCGTCTCCGCTGCAAGGAGCTTAACGGAGCATTACGCTCGGCATGTCGAACCCGATCCAAGCTGGTACCATGCGGGTCGTTGATTATTGAGGCATGGAGGCTCCCCAGCCGGCGAGCCGGCGGATCGCCGATGAAAAGGCTGATCAAATAGGATGATGTAAAGGAGCGCCGGTATCGCTTCGCACAGGGTTGATCTTAAACGCGTTGTTTAGCCTATAGGATGACATCCACGCCTGTTAGCTAATTCTCATTCGCCACCGCGCGCGCACACTCTCACGGCGTGGTTCGCCCGTCGACCCTTCCCCCCCCCTCCCCCTCCAGACAGTTCCCCTCAGTGCAGACAAAGCCGCCCTCGAGCCGTGAACACCTGTATCTGGCTACACTGGCGCCGTCTGGTGGCGGCGGACGGCGACTCGCGGCGTGGCCGCGGCGCGCCGATCTCGGCGACGCCGTTCGCATGCGTTCCGGGAAACAGCCGTACAGGTGGCGGGGGTGGCTTCTAACGGTTTTCCGCAGAGAACATTGCGTAACTCTAGGGTGTCACGTGCGTTGCACGAAAGAAAACGTTGGCGGTTTTCCGTGTATTTCAAGGAGCGGCCTGGGCGTCGGCCGTCCCCTGCCATCCAGTTCGTTTTTCGCTTATGACGCGTTGATTAGAGCCTTGCCCCCGACTCGGTTTGCGGTGTAGGTAGGCAGCGAATACGTCGTGTTCTCAAGCGCAGATGGGCATGTCATGCTCTTGCCATCCCACGCTTGCCTTCTTTGCGTGCGTTTTGTTTCGGCAAGCCGGAGGCATATACTTGAGTTAACTAACTCAGCAATTATTCTTGAGCCGTCACAGCGGGCTTGCAATATATAACAAACACGATGCGGGATAATTCACAGAGAGCCAACGGATAGCTCCAGCAGCTTGAATCATTGGATAAATGTGAAGAAACGTCGATAAGCCTGGCCACTGAACATAGCTTGCAAACTATGTGGTGACATGTGTACACACTGCTACATCAGGTGACTCGGTGAATCCTGCGAAGACGTATGGCTTCTCACTGACCTGTTGTCACCGTGCCATCCAGTCGCTGCGATGTCGCTCGCTGACCCTGTGTCACTGAATGACTCGTAAGGCTTTTACATGGCCTGTTATCCCAATTTTCTGGATTTGTACGGACTGTTGACTTTTGTATTCTGATAACAAGAATGACTTCAACCTGACTGCTTTTGCGCTCTTTGTGTGCGGTATGGGTTGCACAGCCCTCTCTTAAGTAGTGTTATGTCTTTCCTTGACCTGTTCTTCCCCGGTCCGCTGCTGCTGTACCAACTAAGACCTCGGCTCGTCTGGCAGACTGAATGACATTTCCGTGATCTGTTCTCTGTCTATGTTTCAACTGTCACATCGACTGGCTACCCTGTGCCACGAATGCTTGTGTGATCTTTACACGATCTGTTTAAACGTCTTTTCCAGTCTCCTGCTGCAACGGTACCTGATAATCCCTGTTCCGATGCCCTGTATGGCCTGTATAACCTTTCGGTGACCTGTTCTCCGCCAGCCTGCTGCTGCTGTACAGGCTAGTCACCCTGTGCTCGCCAAAGCTGCGCTTCCGGCTCCTGCAGGCTCGCGGCAGCAAGTATGGCGCCGATCCGGCGATCGATGACGTCACCAGGCAGTGTAGCTACGGTGACTGGTGAGCGCGACTGACTAATTTGCTAGCCTTGTTAGTGAGGAATTGACGTTATCACTTAATATTAGATATTGCTATCAATATTTGTTCGTAATTTAACTATTGTAATACAAATATTTATATCGCTAATTAAAATAAATATAAACAATAATAGCCAATCGGCTTGTCACTCCTGTTTCCCGAAAATATATTTTTAGTAGTCAACTAACGGCCATCTCCCTGCACGAGGTGCTGTCGCGAATTTGGTTTCTTGCCTTCCGAGGCGTTTTGACTTTGCGGGTATTCCTGAGGAGCTGCTGTCGCCTGGCATATCTGGCGGTTTCTCGTCCCTTCCCTCCTCTGCCTTTTGCGGCAGTTATCTTTAAACAAAACTGAAACTACCTACTCGACATGTAAAAAATAATAGCAGCGCCATGCCCCGTCCTCTGTGATCGTCACCAATGCGCGTCTTGCTCGTACACAACTGCTCATGCTTCCGTTTCGGGCGGAATGTGCCTGAAACTGACCAGCTCAGTACCGTGTTCACTTGGTCCGATCCCAATTACGATATGTGCATGGACGTAACCAGGCCGCAAACGCCGCTAGGTTAATTTTTTATACTTTTCACTATGATACTAACACAAGAGCGGACCAGTCTGCCCCAAAACCTACTGGAGTCCCAAAAGTGGCTACGCTCATGCTCACGTGTCCTCGTCAGCCTCACTGGCCTGTAAAACACCTAACGGCACTAGACCGGGTCGGTTCGTCAGTTCGTTTCTCACCTGAGTTCCATGGGGTCCATGGTATCCGAGGGCGTGCCAACGTCGGGTACGTGCAGCCCTACTTTCAGTGTGTTTTCATCCCCCACGTCAACTCTGGTGTTTATCTTTTTTGGCGGCTGTGGTTTAAACCGGTCCGCAACTTGGCAGCTTCTCTTGGAAATGGGTTTGACATGCTATATCAAGATTTGAGCTTCCTTCGCCATTCAGGTTCGCAGTCTGTCCCGCGCTGGGGGTCTTAGGGGCCAGAGCACTGTTTGTGAGTTTACCTTGGCTTTTCCCAAGCGTTCATGAATCCAGGCCACCACGACCCATGACGCGGTCCGACTCGTGCTAGGGGTCCGAGTGCCGGTGTTGGGTGCATTGCCAACGTAACCCTCTCGTGCCAAGGCTGAGGAGGAATCCGTCCCGGCAATAGGCGTACCCAGGCACGTGTGGACCAGCGACGGGGTCACGCCGCGGGGTCAGAGAGCGCTGGCGGCTGGTGTACCTGCCAGATGGTCCGTCCCCTACGGAGGGTGCCGGGAGTATGGTGGTACGGGTACCTGCAACATGTCCAGCCCACGCTGAGAGACCCAGGAGAAATTGTGACATGGATACCTGAACATGGTCCAGCACGCTGAGAGTCCCCAGGAACAACTGTGACATGGATACCTGTAACATGGTCCAGCCCACGCCGAGAGTCCCAGGACAATTGAGACATGGATACCTGTAACATGGTCCAGCCCACGCTGAGAGTCCCAGGAACAATTGTGACATGGATACCTGTAACATGGTCCAGCCCACGCTGAGAGTCGGGGAGAAATTGTGACATGGACCTGTAACATGGTCCAGCCCACGCTGAGAGTCCCAGGAACAACTGAGACATGGATACCTGTAGCATGGTCCAGCCCACGTGAGAGTCGGAGAGAGAAATTGTGACATGGATACCTGTAACATGGTCCAGCCCACGCTGAGAGTCCCAGGACAATTGTGACACGGATACCTGTAACATGGTCCAACACACGCCGAGGGTCTGGACGGTTGATTACTGGTGACGGTCGCACGAGCACATAATTTGCTCTGCGCTGGGCTCTCGCAGCTCAGAGCACCGGCGACAGCGCGTGGCCCATGACGTGCCGGTCCCGTATTGACTGTCTTGGCGAGCAAGGTGCTGGTGACAGGTATGCCCACGACGCGACTCAAGTGTCCTTTTACCAGGCAGATCTGATCTGCCTACAGTACAACTGCAAATGGCCAGCCCATTGCGCGTCCAGTGCTCCGTATGAACGCCACACCGTCTTTGTCGCAGGTATCTGCTCAGGACGCTGAGCAGGAACATGAGCGCTCCCGTGTTCTCCAGCGTCATCAAACAGCTGGCCCTGCAGCTGCCGCGTAACAGGACGTCCAACGAAGTCAAAGTATGACATCATCTGCCGCGCCGGACAAAGGCGTGACGTCACAGGAAACGCTTCCGCAGCTGTTTTGTCGCCGGGGGAGTTATCGGCAGAATGGAGGTGAAGTCGAGTGATTCAGTGGTTTGCCGGGCATCGCGAGGGTGGACTCACAAGCGTCGTAGATAATGTCTACGAAGGGTGACGACATAGCGTCGCTCATGGGTAGCTCTACGGTGCTGGAGAAAAAGCGAGGTGATGACGTCATAAGGTAGCGGAGGAGCTCATTGGAAGTTGAGCGTGCCTGAACCACAGTTCTCTGGAATCACGTGATTTGCATGTCACGCCCGGACTGTCCATCGTACTGGCCCTTTATACTAAGGTCAATATTCCGTGGATTATCGTGTCTCTATACGCCTTGGTGTACTTAACATTATCGGAGCTGGGCAGCAGCACACGACCGCTCGTATCGAAGCTGCGGTCGCCCGTGCCTTACTGCTGCAGCCTTGGCAGAGACGTTTCGCGTGGAACGGCGATATTGAGCTCTGCATCTTTCCTTTGGCGTTTCCAAATGTGTTACGATGTGCGGTCCAACTTTGGCCAAAGCAAGTTTTCGTGATAGTGATATTTATTTAACGTTTTTCTAATGTATGACGTCGCACAACAGACAGGTTTGTTTGTTCTATCTCTTGTGTGACCAGAGGTCTTCCATTTACTATAATTTACCATTCACTACAGAGGTCTTCCACCTCACCACAAGGGAAGCAAAGAACGCGTTCGAAAACCTGCCACGATGTCTTTTATCGTGAATGCACGCCGTTATTTTCGTAATGCGCTGCGCACGTGTATTCTGATGCATAGCGGTGTCCATGCAGACGTGGATAGCGCAATGGACGCATTTCCTCGGGTAAATGTCCGCATTGCGGCTTATCGTCGCGCTTTCCGGGCGTGTCCAGGGTGGAGGCAATATTTCCGTAATAAACTATCCGTTGAGACAATGTGAACTTTTGACCATTCTTTCATCGGATCCGTTGTAATTGCGGATCACTGCAGTAGTATTAACTTGAATCAATGCATCAGGTTCATCCGGCTTGAGAGAAGCCCATGAAGCCATTTAAGTGGTTTGCTGGGTACGTGAGCGTGAGCGTGTGCGTGAGCGTGAGCCATGTTACGTGAGCTGCGCGAACCAAAGGGAGGGTGTCTAAACACCACGAAACCGCGCGTCTAAACAGCCACGAAACCGCGAGTCCAAACCGCTACAAACCGCAGTACAAACTCCACGAAAAAACCTTCAGTGCAATGTACTTGTCCTATTGGCTTCCGACATTGTACTTGTTCTTGGTGACTTTCCAACAATGCATTTGTCCTGAGTGACTTTCCGACAATGCATTTGTCCTGAGTGACTTTCGACAACGTACTCGTCTGAGTGGCCTCCCTACAATATATTGTCCTGAGTGGCGTTCTGCATGTACTTATCCCGGTGGCTTTCCGACAACGGACTTGTCCCGAGTGACTTTCCGACAATGTACTTGTCCTCAGTGGCTTTCCAACGCACGAAGCTTCTACTCCCGTCAACGTCGGGGCACTGCAGCGGATGCTCTCTTTCCTCAGTGACGTCACCACTAGCTTGTGAGGAGCCCGCGGCGGCGCTCTCAGCCGCTGCCGACATCTCAGGAGCCCCGCCCCCGCCACCGGGCCTCGGCAGAAGCCGATGCACGGGACGGGGCCAGCTCTCGCCCAAGGGCTGCAGTTCAAGTACGCGTGATACTCGTGAGACCCTCATATCGCGAGGGTCTTTGATCATCGAGACCATCAGTAGGTGCTCCGATATCGAGACCGACCCACTGCTCCGGGAGGCACCGTGGCACAGACTGCAGAGGACACGTGCGCCGCTAGTGGCGCACGCGCCGCGACGTGTCCCAGTTGCAAAAAACTGACACAGCCTCGGTCAAGGCCAACTGCCTCGTGCCGCGCCCGTCAGCGTGGCCACCTGCTCGTCTGTAAGTGTCTTTTTCATTGGCTGACACTGACGTCACGATTTTCGGTGACGTCTCGGAGGACCCAGACACCGCGGTCAGCTGTCAGAGTCCGAGCGCCGCCTACCGGCCAGCTGTCGACTCTGCTGGCCCACTGTGCGCTGCAATCAACTTCGGCTTTTTGCGGGGCGAGTCAGACACGACCTCCGGTGTCAGCTGATAGCCTGCTGTTCACAGCAGTAGGTGATGGCCCCGTTTGATTGGTCGCAAGCGTCATCGAGCCAGTTGGCGTGGGCATGGTCGATGGTTTTCAGGCAACGGCGTCGTTTGTTGACGTACCTCAGCATACAAGTTCACTTTTTTCTTGGATGTAATTCACGAAACACCGTGGTGTAATGAATAGGCGCCTGTGATGCATCGTACTTACTGGGTCTGAAGCGTTTTGTTTTGTGCCCACTACCCAAACTTTGCCATTAACGATTATGCATTTGAGCCTTCGCTTATGAGCCTTTTCCATGCTAGAGCCTTTTCCATCCTCTGGGCCTTTCGCACGTTATAAGCCTTGAAAAACCTGGTCCGACGTCGAGAATGCGCTCCTTTAGATGGGAATTGACTTTCTCTTAGCTGAGGACGACGATGAAACCAAAGCCGGTCATCGATCACTTATCAAACGATCACCGATCACCGGTGACCAAATCACCGATCACCGATCACACATCATCAAACAAGCACCGATCACCGATCACCGGTCACCTGATCATAGAACTATCACCGATCATCAAACTATCACTTATCACCGACTCACTTATCATCAAACAATCGCCGATCACATATCATCGCACTATCAACGATCATCGAAGCATCACTAATCCCCAAACACATTTGATAAAGAATACTGACCACCGATCATCGCACTATCACCGATCATCAATCTATCAACAATCACCAATCATCAACCTATCACCGATCACCGATCAATTATTAACAAGCCAATCACCGATGACCGATATGACCGATCATCGAACCATCAACGGTGGGAACACGATTGGATGGGTTGGAACACGTGATCGATAATCCACGTCATTTTGCAGATCTGCTGAGATACGTTATCCTTTAGTACGATAAGAAGAACCCGCCCATTCTAAAGCACATTGCCGTCCGACGTGACCTCGGGTCGCCCTGACGTGACCCCGCATCGGATCTATGTGATCTCAGGGCGCCCCGGCGTGACCCCGCATCGGACCGGTGTGTGACCTCGGGGCGCTCTGGTGTGACCCCGCATCGGACCGATGTGACCCCTGGTCGCTCTGGCTGGCCTCGGGCTGGCCCTGTGTGACTTCGGGTTGGACCGGCGTGGCCTGGGCAGCTCTTGCGCGACCCCCACATCGGACCCGGTGTGACCTCGGGGAGGCTTTTCGTGTTGATCAAATTGAAGAGTTGGGCTGGCACCTGTTAGCTGACCCGAATCTTGTCGCATAACCCCTCATCTGATCTTACCTGACCAACGGTCATACCCTACTGCTCTGTGAATCTACTCTACCCCGCCGTAATACCCTACTATTCTTCTTCTCTATGTTCATACCCGACTAATCGTTGAATCTACCTACTGTGTGAATCCATATTACATATAGAGGTGCCACTTTTATGCACTCAGAACCGCAATATGCTAATAAAACATACGAAAAGTGGTCCATCTGACCCGTAAGAGTTGACAACGGTCCTTCGCAGATTCCGCTGTCGCCATAACGACGGTGGTCGTGACAACTGCAGTTGTCGCGGACTTGGGTGTACACTCTGGGGCTACCAAGAAAGGAAGAAGAAATGTTGTGCTGTTGCAGAGCGTTGATAGCGTAATTTGGATTCGAATACAATTAAAACTATATTCTTATTATATTTTGATGGTGCTCCAGTGACACTACCCAGTGCCATTATTAGACCAAATGGTCCTGAGATTTCACCACCGTATGCTTCTCGAAATGTCCCCGGAAGGTGGACGCTTCCTTTGCCCTCCACCCTGTCTCGTCCTGTTTCATAACGCGGGCTGCTTTGAGGGGGGGGGGGGGGTCGGTGCGACTCCCTTTCTGGCGTTTCCAGATAAACGAAGATAGAGCATAGCAGAAAACACCACTGAGTTGGTCTCAACGAAATCGCGTGACTGAAGCAGCCTTGTATGGTGTTCGGTCAATACTTGTCCTCATTACGTCAGGTCAAACGTTTAAATCTTCCGGCAAGCGTACTTCTTCAGCTTTAGAAACACAATGCATACAAGTCCATCCCTCGAAGGGACACGGAAACTAAACAGGCATGTTTTTCGCTTAAGCCTGAGCACAAAAGTGCAATTTTTGCATGTGTTTTGAGCATATATTTGCCCCCGTTAATGTAAATGTCGGCCCCCACCGCGCGCGTGCGCGTCATCGTCTGCTGACGCCCGCTGTCCGTACCGACCGTACAAATCCATGCAGTGTTTCTGAAAAATCATCGCTGCTCCGAAAACAGAAAAGCTAGGAACCCTTTTGGCGTCAAAGCTCGTGTCATTGATGCAACATAAGCTACTGAAGATAAGGGTGTGATTGCATTACATGCCAGTGAGGTATCCTTCAAACCTTGGAGATGGTTCCATCACCCCCCCCCCCCCCCCCTATCAGTGCGCGGGTTAAAATGCTACTATTTCCTCGTCAGGTTTCACAAAAAAGAAGGGTTGCAAAAGCTACCGGGACACTCCGATGTCATGTGACATGTTTCAGAATATCTACCTAGATATATTATATATATTAGACATGCCTAGATATATAATACAATTTAAAGGGACTGGACCTACCAAAACCTTGTTTGCCGCTATAAACACAGATAACAGCTGTAGCTCAAAAAGTAGATGTTTTACCTCAGTCAACACAGAACAAGAGCAAGTTGTTATCTCGGCGTGTATTTGTTCAGCTAACGGCGCTCAACGTTTTTACGTAAAATGCTGCGGCTACCATAATTGATCCCAGCATGCTTTGAGGTCCAGCCATGAGAGCATATACATTTGAAAGTGACGTCACGATGACTGCTTTTTCCGGCCAGC